TTTTAGAGAAATGTCTATTCAGATCCTTTGCCCTTGGACTTGTCTTTTTATTAATGAGTGGTAAGATTTTCCTTATATTCTTTGATAAAATTGTTCAGATCTGTCTGAAAATGGTTCCATTCTGTGTTTATCTACTTTCTTGAATATTCTTTGAAGCAAAAAGTTTTAAAAATTGATGAAGTCCAGTAAATCTACTTTTCTGGTGTGGCTTGTGCTTTCAGTGTCATATTTTCAAATCCATTACCAAATCTGAAGTATGTTTTCTTATAAGAGTTACAGTTTTTTGTTCTGTGTGTGGTCTGTGATCCTTTGAGTTTAATTGTGTGATATGACATAACTCACCCTTCATAGTTTATACTGGGTACCCAGTATTCGCTGTTTGGAAAATGACTGTTCTTTCTTCATTGAATGGTCTAAGCTTCCTTCTTGAAGAGCAGCTGGCCGTAGACACAAAGGGTTATTTCTGGACTGTCAATTTCATTCTATTGATCTAAATGTATGTCCTATGCCAGGACCATGCTGTCTGAATTACTGTTACTTTGAGATAAAATTTGAAATTAGAAAGTATATTTTACTGGAAGTGGAATTCTGTCATTTAAATTTTCAGATTATTCAAAGGAAGTGTATGAAAATGCAACTGTCTAACTGTTTCTTATTAGCATAGCCACTTCGCTTTTATTGTGGTTTCTGTTTGTATGATACATCTCTCCCATCTTCATATATTTAATCAATTTATATATTTGAATTTAAATTGTGTATGTTTCTCATATAGTCTGACAGTCCGTCCACTGAGTAGATGGTCAATCCATTTACATTTAATGTTGGATTTATGTCTGACATTTTAACGTTTTTTATATGTCTCATTTTTTTGTTGCCCTATTCCTGCTTTATTTTTTTCTTTTGCATTTAAGCAAACATTTTCTAATGTGACTTTTCAATTTCTTTAAAGATTTAAATTTTTTTGAGTTATTTCCTTAGTAGTTGATCTAGGCTTGGCAAATACATCTTAACTTATCAGAATCAGCTTCCAATTTATAATTTAAAAGTCCTATGAGATAAAGAAACATTGTGACCACATAGCTCTCTTCCCTTTCCCTCTTGTGGTGCTATTATTGTTATACATATTTCACTGGCAAATGTTATGAAAGCAACAGCATATTGAATAGTTACTTAATTTTATGCCTTTTGAAGAAGTTGTGAGTAAGAAGGAGAGACAACATATATTTATAGCTTTTATTATATTAGTCTTCATACTTTTCATTTCTGGTTCTCTTCATTTATTCATGCAAATTCAAGTTACTGTCTGGAATCCTTCTCTTAGTCCAATATGATTTTTCTCCCTCCCCCTCCTTTGTGCTGATATTAGGAAACATAGTTATAATTATATAATTAGCTTTATATATGCTCTTTTTTATGTGGATTCAAATTTATTATTTGGAGCTAATTGATTTCAGCCTGAAGCTCTTCCTTTTCTACTGGCGACAGAATTTCTGATTTTGTTTATCTTAGGATGTCTTTATTTCACCTTTAATATGAAAGATAGCTTTGCTGGATATAGAACTCATGGTTGGCAGTTTTATGTGTTGTTTTTCTGTTTTCTTTTTAAGCACTTTTTAAATATGTTATTCCACTGCCTTTGGTTTCCACTATTTCTCAGGAGAAATTGACTGCTAATCTTACTGAGGTTCCCAGTAAGTGATGAGTTGGTTTTCTCTTGATACTTTTGTAATTTTCTTCTTGCATTTGGCTTTCAGTATTTTTATCATGACATATCTATGGTCATTTTGAGTTTATCTGACTTGGAATGTGTTGAGCTTCGTGGGTGTGTACATCTCAACAAGTTTAAGAAGTTTCAGCCATTATTTATTTGAATATTTTAAGCTGCTTATTTTTCTCTCTGTTCTCTTAATACTTCCATTCTGTGTACACTGGTTCATGTAAGTCCCCAACATTCCTCTGAGGCCCTGCTAACTTTTACTCATTCTTTTGCTTCTCTGTTCTTCAAATCCATAATCTCTATCAATCTTCAGTTTTCTGATTCATTCTTTTGCCATTTCTGACCTACTGTTGAGCCCCTTTGGTAATTTCATTTCTGTTATTGTACTTTTGAATTCCACAATTTTGACTTAGTCCTTTTTATACTTTTTATCTCTTAATTGATATTCTTTATTAGAAGTGACTTGGTCACCTGACATGACTTTACTTCTTTATCACAATTTCTTGATTTTTTAAAACATATGCAACAACTTTGGGTATTGCTCTGCTCTTGATATTATTCTTTGCACATTTAATATGTGAGTGATGGGCTGAATTATTTTAATGAAATTTATTCTTCTTTCCTATTGCAGTGTAAATCTTCTTATACTGTCCTTGGGGTCACAGCTGGAGTATGCCCACCCATGGCAATCTTAGCATGACAGTGGTCTTTGTTTCTTTCTCTAATCATACACACTATGCTCTTCAATTAATTGTTTTATTGTCTTCAACAATGCCCTGGAGCATAACTGATTTAACCAAATTTGGGCTTTTTGAGGGGATACTGTCCTAAGGCCAGTGATTGAGATTTATAGTGATAAAAATTATCCTAGTGTCTTTTCCCACTTTCTGGAAAACTAGGTGGCCTACACTTTAATATCTTTAATAACTCCATCCATTTCCTCCCAATTTCCCTTCACCACAACCTGCACTATTTTTGAGAGTAGCCTTACACTTGAACTTCCCACATACTGTGTTGCAAATAAAGTGGTTCATTTGGGGAAGAAACTAGTAGCCCTCTGGACTATGGCTTACCTCTCTCCCCATGGGTGAGACCTCTGAGTCATAGCTATGACCCTGGGGATAGATCAATGGCACACTTCTTTCTGAGTCATACTCTCATTGTAGGAGCTGGGTGCTCTGGAAGGGTGAGCAGCAGCTCAGGTTGCCCAGGTCTTTGCAGCTTGCCTCCCCTCTTGCCCCTACTTCAGGGCAGAGGCACTCAGGGCTTCAGTATTCACAGCAGTGCCATATTCAAGGTGAAGTCTGTCTTCCTTAGAAGTGGGAGCTCAGAAGAAGGGAGCTCCCACTTTGCAGCCACACTTGTCTCAGCAACAGTCACCTAACGACAGGATGAGAAATCTTGGTATCCTGCATCTCCAGGGAACATAGTGCTCAGATGGCAGCTGGGGACAGTTACATAGTTTAAGCTCAAATACCAAAAACTCTTCAATTTTCTTGCCAAGTTTAGTGGAATTTCTTCAATAAATATTTCTTCATTTCATGTATGTCTGTAGGTCCATTTATGAAGATGTTAAATTATGTGTGTTTTTAAAAATTAATAGTTTTCCCTAAGCTTATCAGTTGTGTAAGGAAATAGGTGCACAGAGCTCCTCAAATTGTTGTTCTAGGATTGGAGTTTTATAGGTTTAATTTAGATATGCTTGATTTTGCTTGGGGTTCCCAATCAATTAGAAAATGCTCTTCATTCTTCAACATTGTGTACAATATTTCCTGTCTTCTCCTCCTCCTCCTTCTCTTTCTTCTTCTTCTAGACAGAGGGCATTACCATTCTTCATATCTTGTCATTACATCTGTCCACCATATTGTATTGCAATTGTTTGCTTTTCTATAACTTCTCCGCTAGACTCTTTGCTCCTTAAAGACACATGCTGTTCATCTCTGCACACCAATTCTTAGCAAGGCACTTGGCATGCATTAGGTGCTCAATTAATATATATCAGACAAATTCCATATAGACCTTGTGTTGGTTACTATCTTTCCATTTCTTGTGTGTGTGTGTGTTGCATGCAATACATGAGAGTTGAGTCGTCATTAACAAAAATAGCTCTAATTTATACACAGCAGATATTTTTCTTAGCACTTTTCACATATATAAATTCATAATGTAATCTTCAGAGCAACCCTATTATGCATCATTTAATATGCTGAATGTTATTATTCCTCATTTACACTGAGAAAACTGAGATGCAGAGATTTTAAGTCATTTGCTCAAAGTTACACACTGTAAGCTTCAGGGCCAGCATTTGAGTCCAGGCAATGTAATTCCATGACTGCTCTGATAAAAAGGTATACAAGGCACACGATAGGTATTCAATAACTAGCGATTGAATAAATCCACAAATGAATGAATAAGCAAATAAATAAGAAAGCACAAACTTTGATCAAAGAAGGGAATGCCTTTTTATCAGGTTTTCTCTCTTATGAACTAGTCTGCCTCTGGCCACTGCCCTCTTAAAAGATGAGGTCTGAGACATCAGGTTCTTGTCACCAGCTGACCACTTTGCTCCTCAGAAGGTATTCTAGATATTGGTACCCTCAGCCTTGCCTCATTGCTAGTGTACTCCGAATGGAACTTCCTCTCAACCTCCTGCATTTGGGGGTTGAGCTCAGTGCCTCCTGCTTGTTAGGCAGGCCACTGGAATCACTCCACGAGCTGGTGCGCGCTTACTATGCTGGGTTTGTATTCCTTTTCTCTTTGTATGTTTGCACATTCATCAAGTCATCGCATAGGTAGGTAGACTCTAAGGCTTGCCCCTCCTTTAATAAGAATGCTGGGCTCTTTTCATTTGGGAAGCCACTATTACCTTGGTGACCTGATTTGTTTCAGAGGCCTGCATATTACCAAACAAGACATAGTATTACTGCTGTCAGTTCTCAGCTATCTGGTGGATGGTCACTGTCAGAGACAGTGGTTGAAATAATTACTAAAAAAAAAAAAGGTATCCCAGTATTTTGGTATTTATTTTATATAATCTTGGGGTACTGGCATTTTATTTTTAAAAATGTGAGATAGAATTGCCATCTTATCTTATTATTGTTTTAGTTGAAGGATAACATAAGGAGAGAGTATAAGTAT